CGTTCTTGAAATCCATATATCATGAAAGCATTTGATTTATTCACACATCATTTTTTGTTGATGATGATTTAACCATTGAAAAAGAAAGAAAATGAAGTTTTCTGCAGCATTACATTCATTCTTCTTTTTTTTATTTCATTTTCAGTCTGTCTCTTCGATTATTTTTGTATTTGTTTTTCTACAAGACACATTACATGTGAATATAGATGTTGCATGCCATCAACGAGTGTCGATAGTCAAAATAAAACATTCACAATTTTCAAGTAATTATTGTTGTCAATATGTCAAAGTAAGCGTTCATTTTGATTTTTTTTTGAAATAAATATATTTCAAGGAAAAAAAAAAGGCAAAATGATGATGAACATAATTTCGTAAATTGAGATGAACAAGGTTATAATTTTAATGAATAGAGAAAGAGGAAAAAGACAACTTCTCTTGTACAAATAGGGTAGCAATAATACAGCACAAACTTTCACACCTTCTGTTTTTTTATTCTTTTTGATTGATCACTTATACAAATTCTTCTTGCTTCCTCTCTTTTTCTTTTATATGTATGTTGATATTAAGTTGATTGAACAACATCTTTCGTATCTCTGTATACATACTTTTTTTTTTGTTCTCTTAAATGAACGAGAAGTGACACTCAGTGCAGTCGATTTTGTTGTCATTGTTGTGTACCTTCATCTGCGTGTTAGTTACTAAAAAGAAATGTTTTACAAAAAAAATTAAGATGTTAAACTTTGTTAATAGGTGGTTTGTTAACAAATAAATAGAAGAAAAAGAATCATAAAGCATTCACTAGAACAATTGAATCTCATGAAAACTACAAACATTGATTATTATCGACAATTATTTATATATGTATGCAAAAAATCGACGAAAAACTTATACAGAAAATATGGAAATTACTACGGCAGAAAGAGATACTGGTGAAGAAGAAAATGAGGCGAATAAAAAACATCATGAAAAACAACAAGTTAAAACATCCAAAGGTAAACACCATAAACAATCACGAGATTTATTAACAACAACAAATGGTGCTTCTCCATTATCCAATCTTTCATGTAAGATATTTGTTAAATACGTTTCTATTTTCACTTGACAAATATTTCTTTCTAAATTTTCAAATCTATAATAAACATATCCGAAATCAACTTAAAAGCTCAATATTTTCTCACGTTGATAAATGCTGTCAATAAAATATAAACAAAAATTTGTTTTTCACACAGAAATTTAATTTAATTTAACTAATAAATCTTTCATCTACGCTGAGTTAACCCAGGGGTGCCTCAAGGTCTCTCTTCAGGAGGTCGATTGGAAAATTTTTTTTCCTAGATTTGACCGAATTTTGAGAGAAGGAAGTTGAGTACTCTTTGAAGAATTGATAAGCAAAAAAAAGCAAACATAAATGCTGAAATTTCGTTTGGAAAGAACTAAAGTTTTTCAAAATTGGAAGGGTCACCTTCTCGACCCCACCACGATCGGGACACCTATCAGTTAACCACAAAGCAAAACTACCTAAAGCAAGTACACCAACGACTAATTTTTGTATAAAACCAAGCTCTCTAATTGCCTATATCTGTCTAAATTGATTTATTTTAGTCGAAATTTGAGATTCATTTTTTCTTTTGAATTTCGATTGTTTTTTAGTACCTATCAATAATGATAAATCTGCAAGTTATGTAGCCCATTTACTTCATGAAGCTGATCTTACTAGTCTTGTTCAATTGGATACAGTTACTCAAATAAAATTTTTTCTTGATGACCGTGCTAATCTTATTAATCAAGTTTGTAAAAATAAAATAAAATAAAATAATAATTCTTCTATTATTCTTTGACTTATTTTTCTTGAAAAAAAATTTAGATGGAGTTTATTCGTACACAATTTGAAAAACAATATACAATATTAAAACGTCGTCTTGATGAAAATGAAAATGAAAATGAACGTCTTAAAACACAATATCGTTCGTCATCAAAAGAACTTGCTTTATATAAAAATCTTGTTGAAGCACCTGATAATCCTGAATCACCAACTAAATCTAAAGATTATCAACAATTAAAATTAACTATCGATAAAATTTTACAAGAAAATGAACATTTACATTCTGAATTAAATAAGTTTAAAACAAGTGATCCTGTTTATGAACAAGTACAATTATTAGATACTACGAATAAAAAATTAAAAGAAGAATTAATTAAATTAACAAAAGAAAATAATCGTTTAAATAAAATGATTAGTCTTGATGAAATTAAATATTTAAAATCAAATTTAACAAAAACAATTGAAGAATGTGAACAATTAAGATTAATTAATAAAAAACTTGCACAACAATGTCAACAACAAACATCATCACCAAAACAGGTTAGGCAATTTTTATATTTTATTAAATTCTTTTAATAAACAAAAGAAAAAAAAACGAATCCTTGAACCATTCAGCTCTCTCTCGAATACAAAAAAGAGAATAAAAGATGATGTATTTTACCGCGACAACGTCCTTGTCAAAGTCAATTTGTTCAAAAATTAATAATACGAATAAAATTTAACAGTTACATGTCACACTTTTCTTTTTCTTATTATTTATTATATGAAGTGTAGAGAGAAAGAATTCAAATTTTCACCTTCTTGTACATGTGATTCTTGATTGAATTGAAAAAATAAACAAAGTTTACAACATAGAAATTGTATCAAATAAATTCATCTTTAAATAGGCACACTTTCATCCTCCTCCTCCTCCATCTCCAGTATCTAATCAAGAACAATTATCACCAATTGCACGTCGTTCTTCAAGATTAATTGATGAAAATCTTCTAAAACAATATCCATCTAAAGAAGTTATTGAATTACGTGAACATGTTCATCGTTTAGAACAAACATTACATAAACGTGATTATGAATTACAAAAATTACAAAATGAAATCGACAAAGGTACAAGTTCAATAATGAGTTCAATAGAAGATCTTTATACGGTTTCATCAAATGTTTCATCACCAAAAAGTATTCTTAAACATCAACCGCCTATTGTTCAATTACAAAATGAAATAGACCAATTACATGATAAATTAGATGAATTAACACGTGAAAATCAAATATTAAAAACTCGTACACAAGAATTTGACACAATTTATGAAGAAAATGAATATCTCTATGCTGAAAAAAGTCAATGGAATGAAGAAATGGAACGTTCTAGAATACGACAATTAGTACTTGAACAAGAAATTCATACACTAAAAGAACGTGAAAAAGAATTTATTTTAACAAATGATCCAGCAATAACAACAGATAATTCTAATTTATCACAATTAAAATTAAAAATTGATTGGTTAAATCAAGCAAATAATCAATTAGAACTTGAAGTTGTTCGTTTACGTGAACAAATCGATTCAATAACAAAAAAATTTCAACAAGCTAAACGAGATTTAATCAATAAAACTCAACATTATAAACAAATTTTAGAAGCAGCTCAAGATACACAAAAACTTCCTCAAGTATATCAAAAATATTATTTCTTTACATAAATTTTCTTTTTTCTTTTATCTTGACAGGAATTGGCTCGCATTGAGAAACTTTATACTGATATGGAAACTAAATTTGAATATGAACGACAAGAATATGAAAAGACAATTGCAGCTTTAGAAGAACAAAGTGAAAAAAGAGAACAAAAATATAGTGTAAGGTCAAGCGTCACATTCTTTTTTTTTTGATACGATTCGATCGAATGTGAAGCAGTCATTTTTATAACTATGCTTATATTAACAAATAATATGAGAGGTCGTAATTTTCGCTCAAG